CGACCAGGTGCTCCTCGCAAGATTTCTGACAGAGGAGTGAAAATAATTATCAGAAGCGTTTTCTAAGAGCCAAGAATCACTTGTAGGAGAGCTTCAGAAAGACCTGGAATTAGCAGGTACAGTTGTTTCAAAGAAAATAATAAGTACAATAATTAATGCACTCAACCACCGTGGCCTGTATACACACTCACCACACAAGGCTCTATTGCTGAAGAAAAAGCATGTTGAACAAAGGCTTTTGTACAAAGTATTAAATACATTTCAGTACGTCATTCAGTGTCATTCTACTTTATTACACAGAACTTAATTTCTGAACTTATTTGTATTGTTTTCTTTGTATGTATGGATTACTTGGGTTGTTACCGACATCTGGTGAAAATTTCAAGTCAACAGCACCTTTAGAATATATTTACTGAGAAAAATGGTGACGTGTTCAATACTTATTTTACCCGCTGTATGTGTGGCTTAAAATGAGATGAGTAAATAATGACAAACTTTTTATTTTTGGGTTAATAAATCCTTCACTGAAAAGAATTTGGTGTAGAAACAATGTTTTCACTCAGAAACTGCTAGCAAACTTTCAAAATAATTACAAAGAAATGGAAAGTAACACGTTGAATTAAATATGACATTTTAAAGTAGAATGAGTGTAACAGTATTTTCTTGTAAAACATACTCCAGTAATCTTTAATCTCCAAATTTGTTTACAGTGTTGTACTTCAGAGCAGTTAATGTGAAATGAAATATGAGATGTATTCATGTAAACTGAGGGCTTTGTTGCACCTGTTCTGCAGTGACCGTGAGTTCAGTCTTTCACACATTTGGCTTTCATTTCAGCATTTCTGAACTTCTGACTCTTGTGGCACAAAGCATAAACAGATGGACGACAGGTTTGCCTGAATGTGTGATCAGATCAGATCAGATCAGAAGAAACTGATAGCTGTTCTCTGACTTCTCTCCCATTGCAGATGACCTTCCCTACTGCCCCAAGGGAATAACGTCCAAGGTTTTCCGCTTCAACGTCTCCAGCATGGAGAAGAACGCCACCAACCTGTTCCGGGCAGAGTTCCGTGCGCTGCGTGTGCCGAACTCCAGCGCCAAGAGAAACGAGCAGCGCATCGAGCTCTACCAGGTGCTTTCATTCAGTCACATTCAACCTGCACAGCCTGCAATCATAGTCAGAAAAACTGAATTATTCCAAATGGAACCAGTTATTGAAACCTTAGACAAAATATTGCACATTTACATATGTGACCCTGGAGCACAAAACCAGTCTTAAGTGTCAATTTTTTGAAATTGAGATTTATACATCATCTGAAAGCTGAATAAATAAGCTTTGTTAGGATAGGACAATATTTGGTCGAGATACAACTATTTGAAAATCTGGAATCTGAGGGTGCAAACAAATCTAAATATTGAGAAAATCATCTTTAAAGTTGTTCAAATGAAGTTCTTAGCAATGCATATTACTAATCAAAAATTAAGTTTTAATATATTTACGGTAGGAAATTTACAAAATATCTTCATGGAACATGATCTTTACTTAATATCCTAATGATTTTTGGCATAAAAGAAAAATTTATAATTTTGACCCATACAATGTATTGTTGGCTATTGCTACAAATATCCCCCAGCGACTTAAGACTGCTTTTGTGCTCCAGGCTCACATATGTGGTTGGGTTTTGTTGATAATCATATTTGATCAATGGCTCATATAGTGGTGAGAATATGGAGAAAAACTGCTCAATTATGCGATTTGCTGCAAATGCTGATATTTACAGTATATTATGAAATTCTGCTGCTTGTAATTTAAATCAGTGAGATCTTTATAACAGTGCAGCAGATACTGACATAAAATGATCTAAATATCACTCTATATCTCCAGTAATCTGTCTCAGTAAGATGAGATTGAAATGATCCAAACATATAATGCAGTGATTGAGAGCTGAAGAAATAAAGGCTCCTCAGAAGATGTGAGATGTTCTGGAGGCTTGTGAAGATCATTCCTCCGCTGAGGAACAGTGAAAGTAAAGCTTCTGGAAACAAACACTCCTCAAAAGATCCTGAGGATCAGATTTGAGACTCTAAAACATGATTGATGGAGAATCAAGTAAAGCTGAGCTGCTTCAGTCCAGTAAGTGTTCATCTGGAGATATTACTGCAGTTATTCTGACCTTTACTTGATAAAAATCAGTCTAGATTTGACACGAGAAGCAGCAGCTGAAAGTACTAAATAGTGTTACTATATGATACTAAAAGAGCTTTTACTGGAGCTTTTAGAGTAAAAAAAACAAACTCTCTCATGCAGTAGATTGTGAAACAGGTTTAACAGCAAAGTTTTTATAATTTAGAGACCTTCAAATATGATACAGTAGGCTTTATAGGGTTAATGCTTTATTTTTCCAAGAAGATTTAGAGGATTTATGACCAGGCCCAGGTGGGATCTCTGGATGTTTTTGCCCTTTCTGAAAATCTGCAGAATTCTGTGGAATGGATGTAAATGAACAGAATGTGAAACTGAGCTGAGCGTATGACAGTCTTCCTGGTAGCTGAAAGCATTATGAAGCCAAAACTAACACGAAGGCTGAGTTACAGCGCTTTCTGCAGATCCCAGTAAGCAAAGCCGTGACTCCACGCAGGAGTAAATGCATTTATCATGCTTTAAAAGAGAGGATCATTAGGAGAAGAGATGTTGGAGGTCTCTGTGTTTCACTGGAAAAACGTTCCAATCATATAATGATTAATTCAACTTTATTTGGAGTACTACTTGTGCACAATGCACATTTCTTAATATTAAGCCTAAAATGTGTTTTATTGATGGGGATTCTTTGAATAATATCGGTCTTTAAATGCATTAACATGTACCTTGCAATAGTTCCACTGTAGCACAATCAAATATACTTCAGTATATCTTTAGTTGGACTTCAGCACTACTTCAGCACAATTAAAGTGCATTAAGCACAAAATTAGTTGTTCCAGTTTAGCAGACTTTAAGTATACCGGTTTAGTATGCCAACAGTAAAACTGCAGGGTATTTTTATTAAGCACATAAATATGTAAATGTATTTGTAGTATACTTAGCATGAAATAAAAGTATTTCAAATACATTTTAGTATATCTCTTTTTCACTAGGCTATAATGTATATGACACAAATGTGTAAATACAGTGAACCTGGAGCATTTTGTGTTTATAATGCACATGATGTCAGAAACACAGGTACACAAACAGACATGAAAGCATGCATAAACATCAGAGATGATAAAGTTATCATACTGCAATACATTTTTAGTATAAATCTTTCAAAACTGACTGATCATGAGCTCTTGAGGCTGTTCTGTGACCATATAGATTTCAACTTCAGTTACAAAAGTAGTAGTAATAAAGTAAATAAATAAGAGAAGGTGCTGTTATTATGAAAACAGAAAACAAAGAACAGTGAATGACATAATCAAGTCCGTCTCCCAACACTCTTAAACTGCTTATATATTTGTATACATTACCATTCAAAAGTTTGGGGTCAGTAAAATTTTTATGTTTTTGAAAGCAGTTAATACTGTTATTTATCAAGCATGCATTAAATTGATCAAACGTGACAGTAAAGACATGTATAATGTCACAAAAGTTTTCTATTTCAAATAAATGCTGTTCTTTTGAACTCTCTGTTCATCAACGTACTATTTATACGCACTTCCATGAGATCGGGTTGAATCTTCAGTTAGAATGCCTACACATCAGTTGTTTTCTACAGTTCAATTATAGGCAATGCTTTAGTTCATACAGACACAACCTTTGTCGTTTTTTGCAGGTTTTTAAATACAACGCCAATACACCATGCAGCACATCCTTCACATCTAAGCCTCAGATACTAGAGTTTCCACACACTGAACGAACACAGACACGAGAGAAAGATGATGGCACTGTACTGAAGTGAGATGGAGCACGGGTCTTTTACAGGCCTGATCTGTATTCCAGGTGCTGATGGATTATACAGAAGAACATTTGCAAGCGAACAAAAGAAGCATTCTGAGAAACTCAGAGCTTTACTTTCACATGCCGATGCCTCTGACCGCAATATAAAACCCTGTGGCTCGCAGGCCTGAGAGCCGTTATATAACAGATTCATTCCGCGAGTATATGTTCTATAGGTGCTGTGTTTTCAGTGGGGATTTTCGATGGGGTTCCAGTATTTCCTGTAAAGGAGCCGCTGTCTCGGGCCTCCCGTCAGAAGCTGCTTTGCCTCGCAGGAGAGAGCGCCGCGGCTCTGGCGTGGGCCGCTCAAGTGCTCTCCACAGACCTCCGCTCCCAGCCGCGCTCTCAGGATCTTAGATTAGCTCCTCGCAGCGCTCCAGAACCTACTTATCCCAGCCTGCTTTTCATGGGCCAAGCAGTGGTGGGACCTCCGTGCTCCGGATGCTGATTTTATCTGGCAGACTGAAGCATCAGACAGCGAGGGGCCGCATTCTTACAGCTACTTTCAAGGGTCTTCTGATTTTCTACTGCAATTTCTGTGCAGTTGATGGATGGGATAGCTTTGTAAGAAATTAAATGACTCTGCACAGTTAACAAATTTGTAATTTGCACCTTCTGATCAATGACAGACAATAACTTTACAATTTGTGATCACCAGGAGGGAACAGTTAATGTAAAAGTCTGTGAAAGTGATTTTGTGCCTCTTAGGGATGGCACAATAAAGTGATGTTCATGATACTTGACCCCTTAAATGAACTTCCTATGGTGTCTTTTAACTTTTATAAAGGCAGTTTTCTCTAACCTTATTAAATGTATGTACACACACACACACACACACACACACACACACACACAAAACAATTTCAAGTAAATTTCACAAACAATTACACGAAGTGGCAAGTAATACACCGAATTAAACGTGAAATTTTGAAGCAGAACAACTAAAACTGTACTTTCTTGTAGAATTTTCTCCATTAATGTTTGTTTTATTCAGAATTTATAATAAAAAAAAATAAAATATTAAATCAATCAGATAAGACACACCAGGTTGTTACCAATCAAATACAATCAGTATCAACAGAATCCATCTTTGAACTGCAAAAGCTGCATCTGAAGTGGCATTTATATGTATTTACTGTTTAATGCAGCTGACATTAATGTAGTGTTTTAAAAATTAAAGGTGCTGCATGCATTTTTTTATTTTTATTTTTTGAGTGCACTAAAGCATAAAAATACCATTTTTCGCAGATATTTAGGAAACACAAGCAAGTTCACATACTTGCTACAGCAGTGATTCTGCTTTGAAATGAGCATTCCGTGTCGGAATGTCTGTTTTTGTTTTGGTCTGTGAGCCTCCGCCCACTGTCAGTTTACCCAATAGGATTTCGACACCCCGGGTTGCCAGTTGGCGGAAAAGAAGTATTGCAGCCATGGAAGACAAACTGGGTCAGAGATCGCAGATTCTACCCAACCTAAAAACCCATCGAAAGAGCTCTATGAACAGAGGCATATTAAACACAAATAAATCAACTCATCAACTTACAGTGTAAGGCTTGTTGCTTCCATTGTCAGTTGCTCTCATTCCTGTTGTGTGTCCTCAATGTGGCAACCCGTGTGAGCCTCGAGTCTGAGGAGGAGGGGTGGGAGAAACAATATTTTGAATTTGGACCACAGTAACCATTTCAACCACTAGCTGCCAATATTACATACAGCGCCTTTAACTTTTGAATACAGAACTATGAAATGATGGGGAAAAAATTAAATTCTACTTTTAAAGATGACACTAAAACTGCCAGTAGGTGGCAGCAAGTTACAGTCTTAATGATTGAGTCATTGAGTCATTAATTGATTCAGAATGGCCGATTCATTCATAAGTGAAGCAAGTGACTGTTTTTATGAATGATTCATTGAATCATTGACCGATTCATTCAAAAAATGCTGATTCGTTCAGCAGTGAAACACATCTGTGTTTTGCTCTGAGATGTGCAAACAGTGATTTGTTTGAAAATATTTTCATTGCCTAAATATATTTTCAGTCGCACATACTAATTTTTGGTTGCAAGTGTGACCGAAATGGTTGCAGTCTAGAGCCCCGTTCTCTGTAGCCAATTTTATGTTTTGAATGTTTTACTTCTTCAGAACAGTACTGAACTTGGTGATTTTTGTGGCATATATGCCATATGAACACAGAAAAAAAAAACTCTTGACATGATTAGAAAAGGCTAAATGGTCTTAAAGAAGTCACACTTGTGATCTTCACAGTTAAAAATGAATCTGCTTCCTCAATAATCACGTTAATGATTCTTTGAGCTCATGTTGGCGTATCAGTGATTACACTGCTTTAAGTCTCTGGAGCCACACAGTAACAGCTCTTGGTTCATTTCGAGTTGGACATGACAACAGTAATGACTTCAGTCAGTGATTCAGTCATTAAACTGATCGAACTGATAGCTCATGCATTTGAGACTGAGACTGACTGATGAGTGTTTTTGACCGATTCATTAAAAACAACCATATGACTCATTCATCTGTGAATCACACATCCTGTGTGGATATTACCTTTGTGCTATTTTATGCATATTTGATTCAGACTGCAAACTCTCAGCTAAAATGTCGTGGTGCTGTATATTCAGTAGGAGTGCAGCACAATGCAGGAAACATTAGCTGCGTCACAATTTTGCACTATTCTATGCCATTTTGTTGTATAAATGGCCTAGTGCAAGTAGTGTGTTCACACTGAAAACTCCAACAAGAAGTGCACTTTAAATACCTGGGGATGCACTTATTTAACTGAAAAAATTAAGTGTGGAGTGTTGAACATGCACTGTTGAACACAAAATGCATCCACTAAACGTACACTGGAGCAAACAGTGCATAGTGTATAGTATTCATCATGGAGAAGGCAATCCCAGAATGCATTGTGATGAGATTAGTGAAGAAAATATATCCAAAGGGAGAGAAGTGTCAATTATAAGTAAGGGATAATGTACATCCGGATGGTTGTTGTTGCAAAATAAACCTTGACAGGGTGATCACCGTGAAGGGTTTATCCTGCTTATTACACAGCTGCTCTCCACATAACTAAATAAGTGGACACAAAATATTGATATGAGTTTAAATTTTTCGTTAGCTCACTAAATACAAAGCTTCTGAGAAGAAAAAAACAGTTCATAGAAAGTGGCTTTTAGCCAAGATGAACAAACAAGTTCAAACAAGAGAAATGTAAGGGATAAGGTACAGTCATACTACTTATTATACTAAATAAATAATTATGGGGACATGAAATATTGATTTGTTTTACAATCTTACCTGTTTATTATCCTATAATCTATTACAGTGTATAATCATCCTGGCAAGAAAACAAACACTACAATAAAAAAAAATGCATTGTTAATAATACGTAAGTCCTCAGGTTCATTTTCTAATCAATAATTAGTCTATAAGACAGACGCAAGATTGTAATGCCATAGCTTCAGATATCTGGATGAATGTTATTTTAGTCAGGTTAGACACCAAACTGAACTGAACACATTAAAAGTGCTAGATCTAATGTTGTGATGATGATCTGTTAATGTCGCGACTGACAAATCAGAATCAAGCAGAGCGCCTTGTAATAAATTTAATTCATTCAGTATTGAAAAGTATCAATACAAAGTTATGTGTGTGATGATGAGTTGCTACAAATACTTTCTAAATGGTTCCCTTATGAGTTTCTGTCTAGGATGCTGTCTATGTAGACAGAGTGGAACAGGGCTGATGTCTGCCAGAGTATTTTAGCTCTGAACCGTAAACAACATCATGGAAATTATTCAGTTCCAGTATTTAAAAATAATGGAACTGGTTCTGAATAAGAATCTTCACCTGCATTCAAATGTAGCTGTCAATCAGAGGCGTGAACGAGGAGCTCAGCGTGTGTTGACTGAGCTCGGGCCGTTCGTTCGCAGGCGCTGACGTGCTGTATTATGGGCTATCAGACTCCACGACTCACTTTTTCCATGAGTGAGAGAGCTGAAGCGTTTGGCCTCGGGCAGCTCCGGTGTCTGGATGAATCGCTGTCTGTCTGTATGTGTGCAGGAGAGAGTGTGTGTTCTCCTCAAGCTCACGTGTGTCATTATTTTCCATGTTACCATACTTTGCTCGTATCTCAGTTCAGTGTTCAGAAGAGTGAAACTGTGTGACGCTTTTAGAAACTGGTGCGTTCAAGTCCCCTTGGAAAGTTGAACGTAGTTGAGTTGGGAAATCCAAATTACGACGTCGGGTGCGTTCAGATCACTTTGGTCGGAGAAAGATGGCGATGTACATTTTCTACATGAAATTCAAAGAGATTTTTCAACTCTGAAAGTACAAAATGATGAATAAAGAATGTGTATTGGATGTGTTTTATGCTGTAACGTGAATCACTATATAGGCTATTCTATAGTAATTGTACAATACTATGCTATTTATTACATGCAGTTTAGGCCTTGTCCACACTAACACGTTTTCGTTTGAAAACACATATTTTTCTCTCCGTTTTGGCCTTCTGTCTACACTGAGATGGCGTTTTTGTCATAGAAAACTGAGAAAACTAAATGCTTTCCAAAGTGGATAAATTTGAAAACGCTGTTTTTGCGTTGTAGTGTGGACTGTGAAAATGTAGGCTTTTGAAAATGATGACGCATGTTTAGTCATGTGACATATTGTACCAATAGATTTTTATGTTTATACCGGTGTTGTGCCTGCTATGTGATATGTCAACTTCTGACTCAACCAATTACGTGAGTTTGGGGCGGGGCTGTCTTTGTGAGCGTTCAGCAAACCTGTTAAAACCGTTATGATCTTTAAAGGGTTAGTTCACCCAAAAATGAAAATTCTCTCATTAATTACTCACCCTCATGTCGTTCCAAACCCGTAAGACCTTCGTTCATCTTCGGAACACAAATTAAGATATTTTTGATGAAATCTGAGAGCTCTCTGACCATGCATAGACAGCAACGCAACTGAAATGTTCCCAGACATCAGTGGCTCAATTTGAATTTTGCGAAGCTACGAGAACACTTTTTTTAGGGTGAGTAATTATTGACAGAATTTTCATTTTTGGGTGAACTGTCCCTTTAAAGTTGTTTGCTAATGATGATGGCATATGGAACTAGTTCTAAACTCACGTGTGGCGTGTCTGTTGGTAGATTCTTCGTCCCGATGAACACATCGCTAAGCAGCGTTACGTCGGTGGCAAGAACGTTCTGACTAAAGGAACGCCGGAGTGGGTTTCCTTTGACGTCACTGAGACCGTACGGGAGTGGCTCATGTACAGAGGTAAGCAAACCTTTATCAAACGCTATTACAGCATTACATAAAGGTACAGAGGTCAGTCCTGTTAATATATGAACTAATGTATGCGGACATTGAATCAGATACATGTGCGTTATGTCATGTAAATGTAACACATTTTGGTTTGCATCAGGTACTTTAGATTGTTGTTGTTAATAGGCCTATGTCAGATGTGCTAAAAAAAAAAAAACCTTGGCGTAGGCTTTACTTAAAAAAAAAAATTATGAAATAATACTTACTTGTAAAAACTTACTCCAGTAATCCTTTTTTTTTTTAACATCGAGGTTGAAGTAATATATCTGAATGACATACACTGTCCATTAAAATGATAAACATATCAGTGTTTTTCACTGTATGCTGTGGTCTTCCAGCAAAAGCGTGTATGAATTTACAGCTGTCACTATAATTAGTGAGAATATTGGCAGAGCAAGTACAAATGTAAAAAAACTCCCCGAGTTGAGTTGTGATGAGTGCTTCTGACCACACAGAGACAGCTTCATGTGTTGTAATGAGATAAACTGCACCAAACACTGTATTTGCTACTGCACTGCCTTATATAAAAGGAAGAATCATTTGAAAATCTTATCATTGTACTGAATCACTAGAGTCACTAAAGATTCAATCTGTGTAGGAATCGCTGTAGTTACCTGGAAAATGCATGCAATGAATGACCAAAGATGAGTTTGCATGCATTATGAAAAATTATGACAATTTGAAAACCCACGTTAAAAAAGTTCAGAAACCTACAGAAAAAGAATTGCACGGTTCCAGCTCCTTATGAAGAGCCCAAATCTTGCAGATTACCGTTACTTTAACAGTGTTTAGTAATGCAGAAGCAGTTTTTATACAAATATTTTGGCTAGTGTCTCATGTGGGCTAAAATACCGTGAGTAGCATTTGCCCAAAGATGCTGTTTAGGCTGTGAATATCCAAACACACATAGAAACTAAAATGAGATGTTTGTGGAGAAACCGTATCCCAAATCTGTGTGTTGTTCCACTGCTCAGAGACCAACCTCGGCCTGGAGGTCAGCGTTCACTGCCCGTGCCACACGTTCAGCCCCAACGGAGACATCATTGAGAACGTCAATGAGGTGTTGGAGGTCAGATTCAAAGGTGAGTGAAGAAAACCAATGCTGAGACCAAACATATCCAACATGCAACAGCTTTCTAATTGATTTTTGTTTTTCTAAAGGAGTCCTATTTTGCCCTTTTACAAAACCTTGATTCAGTTTTTGAGGTGTACTAGAATACGTTTTCATGCTTGATTGTTCCAAAAAAAAAAAAGCATTATTTTTCACATATTTTAAATTATTGGTGCAACTCTCTTCTCAGTCGGTCTCAAAAACACGCTGTTAATTCCTGTATCGATGAAGCCCCTCCTTCTGAAATACAAACTGTGTTCTGATTGGTTAGCTGGCCCAGTGTGTTGTGATTGGTGAACTGCTTAGAGTGTGTTCTGGAAATGACACGCCCCTTACAATAACTGCGAGTTTCATCCGTAAATATTAACAATGGCGCCAATTTTTCCATATGAATTTAAGTCAGATTCAGAACCTGAGAGTGTTTATGAACAAGAGGACTGTGGAGAACCCTTTCAAGCGCAGGTTTTATAGGATGTTTCTAGCGCAGCTCAACCAGGCCTCGTCCCCTTTTTTGCGTATTCTGTGGGTGGAGATATTTAAATTATTGAGTCAAAGTGACATTGTGACTTCACAAGATCTGGAAGAAGCGTGTTGTAGTCTGAACTGTTGTAGTTCTTGAAAAGTGTTTTCTGTGTAAAGACAGTGTAGCACAAGTTATGTAATCAGATTACTTTTTCCCCCAAGTAACTAGTAAAGTAATGCATCACTTTTTAATTTACAAGAAAATATCTGAGCTACTTTTCAAATACTGTAAGTAACGCCAGTTACTTTGTTTTCCTGTTTATTGACTGACAGCACTGGTGTTGCCATGTTGAGAGAAATCAGGAGTAAATGCAGAGCGTTGTGTGTGAACATGATCTTACTGTAGTTCTAGACTAAATATAAACATGTGTTTACTCATCTCACCTGCACAAAAACAGATTCAGTATTCCTCGAAATGAATAAAAACGGTGAAATGCAAACTCAGAATACAAACCTGCAATAATTAAATATGTTAAAGGGATAGTTCACCCAAAAATGAAAATGTGATGTTTATCTGCTTACCCCCAAGGCATCCAAGATGTAGGTGACTTTGTTTCTTCAGTAGAACACAAACGAAGATTTTTAACTCAAACCACTGCAGTCTATCAGTCATATAATGTAAGTGGATGGGAATCACCGGATCTGCCGTAAGAAGACGCCGTAATTCCCATCCACTTACATTATATGACTGACAGACTGCAACGGTTTGAGTTAAAAATCTCCGTTTGTGTTCTACTGAAGAAACAAAGTCACCTACATCTTGGATGCCCTGGGGGTAGGCAGATAAAAATCAAATTTTCATTTTTGGGTGAACTATCCATTTAATGTGGATCTTGGAC